TTCTGGGACTGTATTTTTCTATATGATAGCCATTACTCTAAATTTTTATAGTGAGCATATAGTTTTTTAAAACTAAAGACAAAGAAAGAATACGCAGAAGAAAATTAAATTAATCCATAATATTACCATTTACTATAGGATATTACTTTTAATCTTTCTTATATATTTTCTAAATTGTGATAAGAGGGATTATGCAGTTTTTTATCCTACTTTCATTTAACATTACACGGTTTTCTAGTTTATTATATATTCTTTACAAAGTTTTTTAAAAATTATATTTCTTTGAATGAAAAGAGCATATTTAATAAAATAATTATTTAATAAATAAAATAATTATTGAATAAAATAATTATTTTAATTATTTCTATATTTTAGGAAACTGAGACATACCCAGTTTTTCCATATTGTCACAAACAATACTTTGATGAATATCATTTCTTTTAATCTGATTATTTACTCAGGCTTATTTCTAGACAGGGAGTTTCTAGATTAAAAGGGCAGGGATGTCTTAAAATCACAACATGTATCTGTCACCAAATTACTTTCTCCAATTGTGCATGCATAGGCAAAACACACGCTTATACTTAAGCCTTTTTATTATCAAGTCAAGAATAGAACAATAATTTCTGCTTCTATATTCAAAGAGATTTATGCACCCTTCTATTAATATTTCCCTCTTTCTTTCCCTCTTGTCCTCCCTCTGCCCATCACAAAAAGAGATAATGTATATTCTAATTTTTCTTTCTGGGATTTTTTGTTCATTATATTTTATAATCTATTTACTTTTTTAGGCATCTGTTTGGCTGAATTAACCTCTTTTGAAGTCTCTTTTTATATTGTGAATTCCATATTTTTTATTCATTGCTCATGTACATAGGTATTGTATATGTGCAATATACATATACATGCATATGTACATATATTTTCCTGGCACACGGACACCTTTCATTTATACACATACGTATCTTTAAGTTTTTAATGAAAAGATGTAGGTCCTGTATTTTATGAATTCATGAATGCCTGAAAATGTCTTTCTATTGCTTTGTTACATAGGCGCTACTTAATTGGGAATGATATTTTATGAATTGTCTATAACCTAATTTCAATGGGCGTTTGGGATAGCTGGAAACTATGGAGCTAATGTGATTTTGCCCCTTTTGGGTTATAAGCATTCAAACAGGTCCCTGTTTTGTTTTTCACTACTTTTATTCAATTTAATTCAAATTATTTTTATTCACTATTTTATTCTTGTGCCATTAGACATGTGTATTGTCTTCCAGTAACTCTACCTGGAAAGTGATGGGTCCTTTTGTTGTGCAAAAATCACGTCCTTTTTCTTTTCTATGCTGAAATATATCTTCATCCTTTTGTTTGTTGCTTGCATTCCAAATCTTATGGAGTACTCAAATGCTATCATTGTTTGTCAAACCGATATTTTCTGGCCTTTTTAATCCATCATGTCTCCATTCATTCTCATTCTTATTCTTTATTTCTTAATTTAGTTACAGATTAAGTTTATCTTCCTCAGGACTATATGTGTATTTTCACTGTCAGTTCTACTATTGTATCTAAGGTGGGTTTTGTAATTCTAAGAAAATCAGTAGAATAGGATGTTCATCAACTTAGTAACTATAGTTTAATAATGTTTTTGTGCTTTCATATCTTTATGTAAATAATTTTGAGACTCACACCCGTTTTTATGATTAAGGATCATGTTCTCTGTCTTGTCCTACAGTACTTGTTCATGCGTTCCATGTTGCATTTTTTCAGTTTACTCTGAAGAAATCTATCTGGACTTTTTCTTTCTGCCTTGCTGGGGTACTGGAGTCTCTGTACAGTAACCTCCTGTATGTACCTGCTCCCAAAGCCATTCTAGCCACTGTGCCTATTGCGTTTTACTTACGGTGACCGTAGTTCCTCTTAAATACTGCCAGCCCCTCTGCTACCACTCTCCATTTTTTTCTTGGAGTTAATCTCCACAGGGATCCACAAAATTCCCCCTGGGAGTAATCCAGTTTTATAATCCTGTGATAGTGTTTTCACATGAGGTAACTAACTTTTCCAGTTCAGGGTCTAGAAACTATACAGGTATGAAGGAACCTCCTAAGTTCTTTCAGGTTGAGCTAAAACAATTTCACTTAACAAAAAATGCATGTAAGAGTCATGTCTTTTTTTCCCAATACATTTGTGTTAGCCTTATATTGAGGTAATATCTAAATAATTAAGTAAAATGTATTGAATGTTGGAAGTAAGAATGCCATAGAGAAAAAATAAAGTAGAAAAGAGGGATGAAGAATACATAATCTTAGCTTCCCATTGTTAAGTGGTTTAAGATTTGTCATCATAGTTATTTATATGGAAAATAAAGTAAAGCTAGTTTCATGGAAGCAGCTAGTATTTTTACTTGAAATAGCTTTTAAATCACAAGTCAGTGACAACGACATTCAACGATTAGAAGTCAGTATTATCAATCTCTGCCTAACTGCCTATTCTAATATTTAGTATGTATAACCTAAGAACTATACACTTAAAAATCTTGAAATTTGGCAAGAGAAAAGGAAATGAATAATGTCTTCACCTTGTAAAGTGATCTTCCTTTTGAAAAGAGGCATATAATGCTCTGAAAAAGGCCATGCTTACTATCTGGCAGCCATGATGGTATGTACGTACTTAAATTTCTTGTTTAACACAACACCTCCATAAATGAAGCATTATTTATCCCTCTGACAAAGATGAAGAAACTACGGCTTAGAGAGATTCAATAATATGACCAGGAAAACATAGCTAGTAAGTATCAAAACCAGGATTTGAACCTAAGTCTCTTTGATACTAAAGTCATATTTGTCATCATTACACCTTTCAGCTTCAATCTCTGACCTGAGATAATCAGAATGAACAAAATGGCAAATCCATTGGTTTTTATTCAAACTGCTTTCTAAGGCTTGCACATGATTTGGTCCTGCCTATCTCTCCAGCTTCATTTTAGATCCAGTATCCCTGAGTCCCTGTTCCTAGCACCCACTGGCTTTCTTCTGTTCCCCCAACAGCACATTTTGGGGCCTTTGCGTATAGTATTTTCTCTGCCTGCAGTGTCTTGCTCCCTTTTCTCTATATGGTTTCCTTCTCCTCTTCCAAGTCTTAGAGCGAATATCACTTGCTTAGAGTCCTCTTCCGGAGACTTCACTCAACATAGCTGCTCCTTTCAAAGCCTTTCCTATCACCTGTTTATTTCCTTCATAGCATGTAACCCATGTGAAACCAATCTGTTCATTTATTTAGTATGCCCCCTCTGATAGACTGTAAACTCCTTGAGGGCAGTGGCTTTCCCTCTCTTGGTTATTGCCGTATCTGCAGCACTTAGAATGGTTCTTGGCATATAACAGATGTTTAAAAATAGTTGTTAAATGAAGATAAAATGAATAACTTTAACATCTGTACATTTATTTCTACTTGGGAAAATTGTATTTAATTTTTTCTTTTTTTGGCTGAACATGTTTGAGAATTCATGTGTTTGATAGTGTCAAGTGTTCTAAATCATGGTTTAGCCTTAATCAGGACAATTAAAAGCATAACCACATATGCTGCAACTCCCTGCAGTAGCGGAGATTTCTGTTTTGTTTTTAACATTCCCAGTTGTCTTGTTTAAATAACTCACTTCAGTAGTCACCTGAAAATAAATGTTTATTCAATAAGCATAAAACTTAGCTAATTATCTATAACAGATTTACAGTATCTTAGAATCAAAACAGTTTTTTTAGCTAGACAAGGACTTAGTATACCCTCTACTCTAATGAACATTTTGGAAAGATAAAAAGGCTTTTCAACGCCACATGGCTAGATCCAGGATCAAAAGAAACTCAGGACTGGGCCCTTTCCATTATATATGATCAACTCATATCTTTCTCCTAGCCCCTCACCTTCTAGTGAATATTCCTATAAGAGCAATACATTATGTATAGTATTTAATAAGAAACCAAAATTTCTGAAAGAAAAATATCACTGCCAGTCAAAGATCCCAGTTTATTTCAAATCTATGGAAATGGAACAGAAGCTTTCACAGGTGCCTTAACATTGAAATCATTGCATACTGTTTCATCAAAGGCAGCTATAATGTAGAAGCAGAGGTCTGCAGGCTAGATATCTAAACAGAAAGGGGGGGGAAAACCAGATTCAGAGCAAAACAATACAAAAGAGTTTTGTATGTTGTATTTGCTCCAGGTTAGCAATTGAACACCATTGCATATGATCCCCCTATGCAGAAATCATAAGTTAAATCCATTGTGATAACCCATGGATTTTTTTGCTTACTCTCATGTGACACATGAATTCTTTATTTTTTCAGATATGTTCATGAAAATAGTTTGATTTAGAGAAATAAATTTACATATACATTTATATAGAGCAGAATACACCGTACCTTTCACGTCTTTTTAGAAGCTAAAGATTTATGTTTAAGAATAAAAAAACACAACTATGCTGTTTTGTGTATATATGGAGTTGAAGAAAAGTGGACATGCCCATTAGTGTATACAAGGGCTCAATGAATATGAGAATATGTTAGATTTATATAAAACATTATGTATAGTTTTAAAACATTAGTTTTTGCTGGAATGTGACTATCATAAGGCCAGTAAAATCAAGAACTGTTTTGTTTATTTTATTTTTTTTATGATTGGCAGCAACATTTACATGCAGTAGAACACAGACCCCAGTTTAGATGACTATGAAGTTCAGGCCTTTTTGTCTGTGAATAAGAGGATTATAATGCTGAATCAGTATAACTCCAGTTCTCTTCTGTGATTTGTTTGCAAAACTATCATAGAATATGAGAAAAATATTATTTACATATGATTGTAAGTCATAGAAGCAGAGAATCCTAAAACCAGAAGGGAACTAGGGACTATCTTGTCAAAAATACTCCTTGTAGAGATAAGGACAGAGCCTTAGGATGGTGGGGACTGTTGTCGTGAGGTTTCATCTGTCTTTGTCTGCTCGTGCAGGAATACATGGACTCCAATAAATACATTGAGCATCTGCTGACTCAGCTTGAGGAGCAACACAGGAGTCTCTGGAGGTGAGTTCAACTCATGGCCTTATTTGTTTGCTCAGGTAACATCTTCTGTAGCTTTGCTGATCTGAAATATTTCAGGCAGACTACAGGGTATATACTAAGTCCTTGTCTAGCTAAAAATTGTTAGATTCTGAGACACTATTGTCTTGGAATAGCACAGTTGTAATGTATAAGCTAGAGCCCAAATTCTTTGATCCTTTCTTGCTTCAAGATATATTTGTTTTTCTCTAGTTAAAAAGTAAAACATTGCTGCTTAAAAGTCCTACTTCTCTTCATATTAAAGGGGAATATTTTAATAATGCCATTGAACAGTTATCCAATATTTAGTTTTTATTCTACATGGAGGGTTCTGACACTAGGTAAGGAAAGTGTCTGAGAGTATTTCTACATGTATATTGGAAATGGTAGGTTAATATCACAGAAGTCATATTCCCAAGTTATTCATTCCTTGGTGACTCTTAGGAATTGAGAGTAGCAAAGATGGTTGTAATTTTATTATTTAGCTTTTTGGGGACATGTTGTTATGTTTTTTATAGGTGCTACTATAGAACTTGAATTACTTTTTCGAAGCTCCTGCAGCTCTTACTTTTTAAAATAAATACGCTGGTGCTTAATTGCATGATGCCTCACATTGTACCAAAATTGTTTCATTAAGTACATTGGTCTCACCAACCGTCAATAAGCTCCTAAAGTCTTTCCATCTATCTTTGTTCAACTCACCAATGCTCAGCAAGCCCCTAAAGGCTTTTCTTTCTCCCCTTCCCCTTCCCCTTTCCCTTTTCTTTCCCTATTTTTTTTTTTTTCTGAGACAGAGTTACACTCTTGTTGCCCAGGCTAGAGTGCAATGACACGATCTTGACTCACCACAACCTACTCCTCCCGGGTTCAAGCGATTCTCCTGCCTTAGCCTCCCATATAGCTAGGATTACAGGTGCCTGCCACCATGCCTGACTAATTTTTTTGTATTTTTGGTGGAGATGAGGTATCACCATGTTTGCCAGGCTGGTCTAGAACTCCTGACCTCAGGTAATCCGCCTGCCTCACCCTCCCAAAGTCCTAGGATTACATGTGGGAGCCACTGCGTCTGGCCCCGTTATTTCTTTTTATCTCCTTGCAGCATGGGGGAGAGTGCTCTCTCTGTACACAGAGATGGCAGGTAAATATTTACTAACGCTCTTGTTGCCTTGCTAGACCTCATCCAAATCCATCACCACAGGGTTCCTTACCAGGTTGGGTTGCCTCTTCTTGTTGTACCAATGTAAAAATTCTAATAGCTTTGAAATTTCTCTTCTTTCAGGAGTTCTAGATCTTGGGTAAAGTGCTATATATTTTAATTTATGTTATTATATTCATATTTCTACTGGAGGACAGACCTCTGATGATAGTAATAGAAAATATTCTATTTCTATACATCAAAAAACTGCTGGTAGGATATAATAAAAGTTCAATGAAGTCTGTTTGACATTAATGGACAACCAGTTAATTTTATGTAATTGATGCAATATTTGCTAGATTTGTTTCTGAGAACTATAAACTGGCTCTGATAGTTTTCTCTTATGAACCAATATATTAATAAAATCAACAATAATATATGTATGGTTGTATCCTTTTCATTATATCTTCTATAGATCTCTTGGAAAGTATATTTTTAAAACTGTATAACTGATATAATGTTTAATTTCAACTATTTCTATAGAATATTTTATTTTTCCCACCTTCCAAAAGAAAAATTCACAAAAAATAATGAATACCATCTGATGAAAGAAATTTAGAGTTTAATTTGTTTAGTAAGTGTATCTTACGTGCATTATTTTAGTTGAATATGATTTCATGAGCTCTTTGAACCAAAACAGCCTTGCACGGAAAGGGCTATTTTGCATAGTTTCTTGAGGTAGCTAATGAAAACCTAGGTCTTCTCAGATATGATTAAATTAAAATTCTGTTTCAGGCATGAAGTTAACATAAAGTGAGATCTTAGAATTTGTGTACAGTTACTTTCATTTTCCTTCAGAAATGAAATTATTACTGCTGAGGAAGCAAAGCCTTATATATAGTGTCAGAGGATCTAATAAAAATGCTCCATTTACATAACAATAGAAGGCAGTAATGACACTTGGATAGTCAGAATAATTCCAGTGAGAAGTTGGAAATGGGTGGTATTGAAAGAATGAACCCCAATAATAGCAGATTTATATACTATTTATTGAATCATGAAATTACTTTTGATTATATTTTTACAAACAGATCCTGACTTCACTGACTTAAAGTGACAGGCTTTATGATGGTTATTACAATATCATAACAACAACTGTAGCCAAATTGTTTTTAGAAAAGAATATGTGAATGACAGTGAACAGTGTAGGAAATCCTTTCTGGTTATGATTAAATTTCTAAATGCTTATTCATAAGTTAGAATAGAATCTATGCTATACAGAGGATCATGGGAATTGCATGTCATGTACGCAAGCACAACCAGATTGCCTGAAGTTAAACAAATGCTCCCATAAATCAGTATAAGCTCATTCTCTGATTTTATATGCCTTTGATTTGTGGCTGCTACAATTGTCATGGAATCGGCAATTTGTCATTGTTGCTAATGTTAACTGATGGCCTTCCATTTCTACTTGAGCTAACTTATAACTTAGAGACAAGTTCTGAATATCTAGATCTTCCAATAATAATTGTGGTCAGGATTAATTTATGGCTACCACCTGTGAGGACTGATCAAAAGCATGGTTGAAACAAGGCATACTCTTGTTGCCACTTGGTGAATGACAAGAGTTAGATAAATAATATAAGATTAGGCGCAAAGATTAAAAAGTTTCCATTTCTTTATGGAGGGGGTTGCTAGTCTTTAGCTGACTTAAGTTGGTTCTTATAGTATAACTATTTGCTGCAACACAAAAATATATTGCAATAATACTCTTGAGATAACTGGTTATTTTGGGGTCCTGTTTAATATTCTACTGAAATAGACTTATAATCTATCTCTGGGTTTTCAAGTTGCAAAGGAATTTGTGGAGTTCATAAATAACTGTCTAGCAATGAGTAGTCCTTTAGCTCAATTGTCTTTTTGATAGCAACAAATCCTTTCTAAAGAGGAAAACTGAAAATTCATCTAAAGAAGAGAATGGGGTCAAATCTAGAACCTAATCTGAGACTTGAGTATAAGTCAGGATGGGTTTAATCTGTTCTGTATCTCCCTGCTTGACTTAAAACACACACACACACACACACACACACACACACAGCGACAATCTGTATACTAGTTCAGGTTGAAATGCAACCATAATTTCCTGTACCTTTATTTGTTCTAATGTGAAAAGTTAGTTTTAGGAGAAAAAGAATTTTTTTTACATCATTTGTTACTATCTCTGATTTAGCTAAATATATTTGTGACTTACAAGAAACATAAGTAAAAGGCGCTGAAAATGTCTCTGCTAATATGTGATGAAAAATCTTTATCCATTTGCAGCCTCATATTAAGTGTTTAGAATAAACAGTTGGAAAATACAAATTGAATTCATGAATGCTTATGAAATTACTTTCAAGCCACAAATGTAAAATTATGTATAAAAAAGTGAGAGCAGCATAATACTATACAATAGGAAGAACACTGGACTGGAGGTTTGGGGGACTTGAACTCTGTCTGGCCTGCATAAACTGGCTGCAGGGTAACATCTATGAAATGGAGTTTTCTTATCTGTGAAAAGAAGGTATTCATATAGCTAGTATTTAAGATTACTGAGCACTGATATTATGAAACAGTGTCTAGAATATTATCTTGCATTTATAAAATATGTTATTTTTGATAACATCAAAATATACTCTCATATTAAATATTATACAACGATACAGCTACATAATATGTATATCATAGAAAGCTTTAAAGAAGGTATAAGTAGAAATGACTAATGTAACAATCTAACAACTTGCCAGTAGTTCAACTAGATAATGTAAAAGTAGTCATTTCAGATATTCTTTCTTTTTGTTTTAATGGGAGACTAGAGTTTTACTGCTACCCAAATCAGTCTCTCCAAAGATTCAGAGGCCAGAGTTTTTAAAAGATAGTTTGGTGGGCGGCAGAGAATGGGGTGGTTAGAGAATGGGGAGTGCTGATTGGTTGTGTCCAGATGAAATCATAGGGAGTCCAAGCTGTCCTCTTGTGCTGAGTCGGTTCCTGGGTTGTGGGGGCTGCAAGACCTAATGAGCCAGTTCACAGCTCTGGGTGGTGCCAGGTGATCCATCAGGATGCAGGTCTGAAAACTACCTCAAATGCCAGTCTTTAGTTTTACCATAATGATGTTATCCATAGGAGCAACTGGAGAGGTTAGGAATCTCACGGCCTCTGGCTGCATGACTCCTGAGCCATAATTTCTAATCTTGTGGCCAATTTGTTAGTTTTACAAAGGCAGTTGGTCTGATCCCCAGGCAAAGAGGGATTTGTTTCAGGAAATAACTGTTATCATCTTTGTTTTATTTCATATGTTCATAAGTTCAATTGGTGACAGTGTTATCAAAAGCCTGTAAGTTAATGAAGAATGAGCAAGTAGATCTGCATGGTCAAAATCAAATGACAAAATCTACTGAATGCAGAGTGCCAGCTACCAACCACAGATTCCAGATCTGAATCTCATTTAAACAAGCTGTATCTGCACAAGGGTTTCTCATCCAAACCACTGTCAACATTTGGGGCCAGGGAATTCTTCATCATAGGGGAGGATATTTAGGATAATCCCTGGCTTTTACACCACTTGCCAGTAGTATCTCTTGGGTGTGGCAACCAAACATGTCTCCAGGCATATTCCAAGGGTCCCTAACGGACAAAATCATCCCCTCTGCCACTTGAACAACGGCGATCTAAATAATCTATGCAAGCATTTTCCTGAGTATATTCTAAGAAACACCAATACCCTGTGTCACTATGTCATAGATATTTTAAGAAAAATGAAGGTACTCCATGGTCAAATAAATTTTAAAAATTTTAGAGAAAACCAAGTTAT